AGACCAGGCTCAAGACTGCACTACCTGATCTCAGCCTCATCTCGGTTTTGAACCCATTCTGTCTTGGTCTTCGCCATAAGTCTCGAAATATTACAAAACATATTAAATATGCAAATATACTTCTTTCCCCTTACTAAGCGGAAATTAATTTTCCTGCGCTGTCCTCTTCTATTTAAAATGCACTACATCTCCCAGTTGCCCTGGCAGTATAACATTATTGGATAGTGCAGGGGCTGCTGGGAAGAGATAGGGATCGAGCGTGCCCTTTAAAAATGAACATGAAAGATGTCGGGAAGATGGCGATCATCCGTTTGTTCATAGGTTTCTCACACTCAGTTGGATTACACCACCACCTTGAGTTACCGTTTCCATCTGGATGTATGTGCTGTCCTGTGCCTTGTTATCCATGTGAGATCATCCTGAGTGGATACATCTGTCTGGGGAGCACTGCCAATCAGGCCCAGCCAGATATCAGGACACCAAGGTCCGGACCTTCGTAGTTTTTTTAAAAGCTAAAAATAAAATTTTAAGCTAAATAGTCACCTGAATGAAAACAAAAATCAGCAGTTGAAAATGTCTGTGGGACAAGTGCATCCTTAATTCAGTTTGAACGTGCTATTATTAGTGTCTGCTGTGTGACAGAGAGGGAGTTAGAGCATTCACGTAGAGTTTTGACTGCAGGATAGTTTTACTGGCAGCAGTTTGAATTCACGTTGTGTGCGTGTGACTACGCAGTATTGGGAAGGACTGTGCGCAGGCAATATATCATTTAGAAAATCAAAACAATGATCATTATACATTAAAAAAAGTATTCCAAAACTGCAACCTGTAAAGATAACTGCATGAAACCTATTAAATATAAGCGTAGGCTGTGCTACTCTGGCCATGTTAAAGGTTGGGTTTCTTTCATATTAACCTATTCTTGCCCATTAGGTGTAACTAACGTTTCACATAACGTCATTAGTAAAAAAATATTAAACAGCTTATGGGGACGGTATCAGTAATAGTAATAGTGTCCATAGGAACACTTCAAAGTCAAATCTGGCTATGAAAACAAGTGTTTGATGTTGGCTTGTAATGGTGTGTGTTGATATCAAGCATTTCTCTTTTAAAAATTTTTTATTCTCATTTGGTTACAAATCACCTTAAATTACATACTTCATACCCATAATATTTTACTGCTCTGTAATATTCTTATGATATAGACCTCAATTCATTCAGTAAGGCACGTTCATATCAATTAATTGACATGAACTCTCCTTTAACACTATTCTCCAGAAAACAAGCCTCCTGTATGTTATGTGTGATTGATGAGATCCACCTCCCTAACCCCCTCACCCCTGGGACCCAGACTGCATTATTTTTCAAACCCTGGCTCCCAATCATCTCATTCCGCATCAGGAACTGATATGTTCCTTTCGTAGAGCTGATCACAAGATATTTCTTTCACTCATTCTGCAAAATGAGTTATTCTGAAAGAACCCTTCAATACATCAAACTAAAGCTGTTCACAAGTGCCTTAAAGTGTACCTTTAAATGCTTATAACAAGATAAACGTCTCCCAGTCCAACAGAATTTGCATTTATCTACAGTTTATTTATAAAAATCCCCAGCACCTTCTTGCATTACTGATTGTTTAATCAATTTGTCCTCTGCAAAAATGCCCACTTTTTTTACAGATTGTGTTTTACATTTTCAAGCTGATGCTTTGCTCCAAATCAGCTTACTTATTTTCTACTTTATGCTCCTGGATATTTGAATGGGGAAATTCAGATTATATCCCGTATGTCCTGATTCAAAGCCATCGCTTACCATCCTAAATGCCATATTATACTTTATCAATGTACTTATTACATAATACCCACGGTGTTGATATACATTTTGAAATGTGTTATTTTGGTTAAATTGTTTCTAGTGTATTTTGGCCACTACCTTGCTTTAAGAAACTAACAAAAAAAAGAGCGTTTGTACAGCTGTTTTAAAGCACTAGGATATTCAGTTCCTGTTAATTATATGATCCTAGAATAACCTGCCTATCCCTTTATCTATAAGGTAACCCTACCTCCCTGCTGTTTGGCTTCCCCTGTGATTCATCAGGCATACAGATACTTTTTCTTTTTTCACCTTTGGCATGAAACAGTGGCTTATTACTTCCTGATTATTTCTGAGAAACTGCTGAAGTGTCCAATTTCCGCTGGACGGATCACTTCTGTGAATGCAGTTTCTGCTGATTGACATTGATTTATTACATTTGGCATCATCAACGTCTTCCCTAGATAAAGAAACTGCATGTCTACATATTGTCAATGCATTACCCATGCGTCTCCTTCAATATCAATAAATACATGAGGGACTGTCCCCCTACAACAAAAAAAAAATAATACTAAAGGTAAACTGAATCGGTGTAAGTTAGAACTAGACTTTCATCTCGGTTTATCACGTTTCTTAAATTTGTTTACTTTTACATGCTTTTCCAATTTCGTCGTATCTGTCCCGCTACACATTTGACTGTTATTGTCACCAGTTTGAATTGTACAGATGACCGATTGTTTCTGGCAGACTTAGTCTGGAAAGGATGAAATAGGCGCTATGCTGAATTCCCACCAGGATCCCTGCCAAGTCAGGATGGCATGGGACTCTCTTACACAGTACCGCCTGCTGTCATACAAGCCAATCCGGTTTTGTCCGCAGCAGTTTTCTGTTGCAGGGAACCATCAGGGCCAGAGATCAGGCTGTTCTGTCAGTTTAATGCACAATCAGGAAGAATAATACAGAACAATGTTTTGTACAGTGTTTGTAGGAAGTTTTCCACTCAAGAACAGTGCTTTTTGATAAACAATTCTACGACTGTATAACTAGCTTTGTTATATGATTATTGCAATAAAAATCCAAGGCTTTCAGCTGAGATAAGCCCAGTATACAGGCTAGTTAGGCTACTTTTAATTTAGCTCATAATCTACATCTAGCAGGTAGTCCTGTATTGAAGTTTGTCGAATGTTATGCCTTGGGAAAAATTAGCAATGAAGCAACTAATCATTTTAATTAGGATCTGCCCATTACTGTGTCACCACCATACAATCAGCACTGTGTTCCTGAATATGATAGAAAGAAAATAATTCACCCTGATTTGGCCTTGTGCCCCTTCAGCACAGTCCTTGGCCGGTAGAATGTCAAACAATGGCTAAGTCCCTGGGGTACTGGGATTATTAATAAATCCCACTTCTCCTTAACAGAGTCAGAAGTCTCCTCTTAGCTGGATGCAGAAAAGATGTCAAAACATGGGCTATGACAGACACAAAACAATCATGTATATTCCACTAAGTAACATCTGTCCATTTATTATGCAGACTTCAGATCTTCCGAAGATTCTGAAAGGAAAACATAAAGGATAATGTTTAACTAAAGAAAGAGATGTGAGCTTCGGCTCTGGGGATTAGGAGAGGCCATGGGGACTAAATACAGAGGCAGATGCTAAGATGACATGGCCTTTGATGCATAACGGGAAGCAGAAACAGAGAGTTGCCCGTGGCAGGCTTAGACTCACTGCCAGTGAGGCTTGTAATTCCACATGGAGATAAGTGAAACTGGGGGTCTTTGAGGGAGGGGCGGCATTCCAATGATACAGTCTTCCAGTTCTAAAGTTAGCAACTGCTATTTAGCCATCAGCCAGAGAGCTTGAGAAGCCGCCCCCTGCTTCAAGCGAGGCACATTCCTTTTGTAACATGGTCCTTTTAGTGCATTATCCTTGGATGGGTGCACCTTTGCCAGCCCCTGCTGCCCCCCATGTGGGGGCTGGAGAGACATTGAGACAAATCTGAAGCACTCATGCCGACACAGTGGGGCTCACTGAGCACACCGGGAGCCCTCCATATGTAAATACAGGCTGTGGAAGATCTGGGCCCAGCAGTCACTATGTGCTTGACCTCTCCTGGGCACACTGCAAATCGCTGTGCTGATTAGCTGTGATTTAGAAATGTAATGGACACCCTGAGGACAGGACAATTATGGTTACAGAAACCGTTCACTCCTGCCCAACCTGATATCCGCTGTAGGCAACAGTCAAGGACCACAGCAAAAAAAATTATAAAACTTTGGGAAACAAACTCCAGAGTTGAACACTGAATGTCAGTGACTCGCCCTGATCATTCGGTGTACTTTTACCATGTACATACAGTCCAACCACTAGCCATACCCGACTGACACTCACACTAGGAGTTACCACATACCCTGACTGTGAACCTCCAAACCAAACTAACATAAGTTCTGATTGTACTCTGCACCCACCTTGGAAACCACATGTCACGGCACCCTAACTATATTAGGACCACTACGTAAGCACAATCCACACCGCTGCTGGCTTTCTGCCCTCTTGGCATCTGTCACACCATGTTAGCCAGACAGATTGGACCTTGACCACTGACCTAGCTCAGAGGGGCAATGTGTTGTGACAGGGAGACGACCCTCAGCCAGTCTGTGACGTGGAACAGGCCTTGGGATGCAGCACAGTGCTGCTGTCTGCACAGAGACACAGGACGGTGGGTGGGGGGGGGGGAGGGTTCTAGTGTTAAACTGGGTTCCAGGTTCCAATCCCAAGACGAACCTACAGGAACTGCACTGGTGAAACGCACAGCTGTGAATGTTCATGATATAACTAGTGACGCACCGATAAGGAAATTTCTGGCCGATAGCAGATTATTTTGAAAACTGACACCAATACCGATGGTTTGGGAGGTTCTGCTTAAATAAGTTTTAAGGGACCCAAATAAATTGTAAAAAATTAATAAATTGTATTCCAAAAATATAAAAAAAACATTTCATTTCTGGTAAGAAAACACCAACTCTGGCATACAACAACAGCCCCAGAGAACTGTATTTTATAACTGTATGCAACTGTACGTATCACCCCCCGTCTGGTCTCACTCCACCCATATCACTCCCCCTGTCTGGTCTCACCCCACCCATATCATCCCCGTTTCTGTTCTCACCCCACCCATATCACCCCCGGGGTCTGTTCTAACTCCACCCATATCACCCCCGGGGTCTGTTCTAACTCCACCCATATCACCCGCATGTCTGTTCTCACCCCACCCATATCATCCCCGTTTCTGTTCTCACCCCACCCATATAACCCTCATGTCTGTTCTCACCCCACCCATATCACCCCCGGGGTCTGTTCTAACTCCACCCATATCACCCGCATGTCTGTTCTCACCCCACCCATATCACCCCATGTCTGTTCTCACTCCATTCATATCACCCTCGTGTCTCTTTTCACTCTACCCACATCACCCCTCATGTCTGTTATATCACCCCCCATGTCTGTTCTCACCTCACCCATATCAATCTCCAAGTTCATTTTTCAAGATGGCAGTTGTATTCTGTTTCAGAGGCAGGGTAATTGCATAACTAAATGAAATTGTGTGCAAAGTCCATCCCAAAGTACCGCAGTACCAAAAAAGTACCCCAGCTGGTTTGGTACTTTGGAGCCAATGGAAAAGCGGAAGCATTAAAAATTCTGTATGAAATGTACGGTACCTGGTGCCATGGAAAACGCCCTAATTACATGCTCATGGTTCACATTTGTCCATCCATCCCCCAAACTGAGGAGGCCCTATTTTATCTCCACAAGTACTGTGTGCTCTCTCTTATCTATGGAAGATGAGGGCCACTTGGACAGCAGAGGTGTAAGACTGCCCAGGTTAGCTAACAAATGGCCAAGATTGTTACAGTTATGGCTTAAAAGTCACGAAAGGCTGGGGTAATACCCATACAGTCACTGAGACAGGCTGGGGTAATACCCATACAGTCACTGAGACAGGCTGGGTAATATCCATAGTCACTGAGACAGGCTGGGTAAGACCCATACAGTCACTGAGATACCAAATGTCCCCCACAATGTAATAAAAACCTCTTTTGACATTGTGGGGATCATTTGTTAGGTCCCAACAAAGATCTGTGAATGCAATCAAAAAAAGTGAAAAATGTCAAAAGTCTCGTATCTTGTTTAGTCACTTATGGTTAAGGTTAGGGCTGGGTAGGGGTTAAAGTCGTCATGTTGTGATTAGAGTTTTCCCCCTACAAAGATATAATTACAAACGTGTGTACGTGTGTGTGTGGTGATGCAGTGCAGCAGACCATACCGGGCAGGTCAGGTCAGGAATTACTTAAGTGAAAATCAGGCTTTTTAAATGTATAAAAAATGATGAAATTGAATGAGACCCATCCAATTACAAACCACACAAGAAGAAAACTGCATACAGTTTATGCCATTATCTCATACATAACTGTATTTTATATACATATATAATAAATGGATAAGGAGATGGACTGTACAGTACTTTAACCAGCTTTATTGAGTTAACGATTGTGACATTCCACTGTTACTATGTAAATCACTCTGGAAAAACAAAATGGAAACTGCAAACAGAAAAATTGTAACAGTACCTTTCATAGTCACCATTGCAGAGCGCCCGCACCGGGATGGAGAACGGCTGCCACACTGGATTCAGTGTGGTCTTCACCACCTCTGTCTTATGGCAGATGGTGAACCTGTATACAGAAAGCATGGTCATGGTGACACAATGCTAAGTCACAGACGGTGATCCTGTATACACAAAGCATAGTGTTGGTGACACGGCTCTAAGTCACAGACAGTGATCCTGTACACAGAAAGCGTGGTCACAGTGACACAGTGCTAAGTCACAGACGGTGATCCTGTATACACAAAGCATCGTGTTGGTGACACGGCTCTAAGTCGCAGACAGTGATCCTGTACACAGAAAGCATGGTCACAGTGACAGTGCTAAGTCACAGACGGTGATCCTGTATACACAAAGCATAGTTTTGGTGACACGGCTCTAAGTCACAGACAGTGATCCTGTACACAGAAAGCATGGTCACAGTGACACAGTGCTAAGTCACAGACAGTGAACCTATATACAGAAAGCATGGTTGCAGTGACATAGCACTAAGCTACAGATGGTGAACCTGTATACAGAAAGCATGGTCACAGTGACACAGTGCTAAGTCACAGATGGTGAACCTGTATACAGAAAGCATGGTTGCAGTGACACAGCACTAAGCTACAGATGGTGAACCTATATATAGAAAACATGGTCGCAGTGACAGTGCTAAGTCACAGACAGCCATTAAAACATGCTGAAGATTATCTGATATGGCACATAGAGCCTCTTTATGGAAGCATAAGGCACAAGCCAGGAAATACAAACACGTGTCTTTGGACTGTGGGAGAAAATCAGCAAACCCAGAGTAAACACAAAAAAACATGGGGAGCAGCACAGACACAAAGCCGGGACAACCCACACCGCTGAAGGCGTGAGGTTACAGAGCCTCTGAGCCACATTGCAACCTGGCTGTCAGGGAAATCCAGCACAAACACAGGCAAAATGGATGAACTAGAGGCACTGTCATGTTGAATGCAAGAGCTGTCTCTATCTCCATGTCAGAACCCTGAAAACAAGGCGGGGGCTGATATTTTCTGAGGCTTGACATCTCAGCAGGGCTGTGTGAGGGCTGTGTGATACAGGTAGCAGGAAGTGACATATGGGCAGAGGTGGAGCCAGCAGCCAGCCTGCGGTCACTTTCACAAGACACGCAATCCCAGGTCACACAAGGTCACTGGCTGGAGGCCAGCATCGCGGCTGCGATCACAGAGAGGGCCACAGGTGCTTGCATAGACACATTCCGCTATGCCGCTACTGCAATGCCCATAACTGGAAGGTAGTACATTAAGGTGCAAGCTGTTTGCATTCTTGAGAAAGAACAAAGAAAGTTATACGGTTATTTTGGGAAAACTAAAAAAAAAAATTGAGTCACATTTGAAATGACCAAATAATGATATTATAAATACTATGTGGGTGTTTCTGTCTTTGCGTTTCAGTCCCTGACATGTGCCCATCTCCCACATGATCACATGTGACACGAGTGACCAAATAATAATACAAATATTATGTCCCCTGTGGGTGTATCTGTGTCTGTGTGTCAGATGTGTGCACATCTGCCATGTGTCTCCTGCCTCCCTCACATCCTCACATCTCACTCTTGCCACCGTCTGACTCACGTTCCATCCTCATTGCTCCTGTAGAACACCATGAATGGATCCGACTTGCCGAAAAAGTCCTTCTTATCCAGCTTGTTGGCACAGAACTGCATGGTGGCACAGTCCTGCAGGGTGGGGGGGTGTATGAGGGGACAGAAAGGGGATTATCCCTGCAGCTTCCATATATATCATCACTGGGGATAAAAAAAAATAAAAAAACAGAAAAACAGAATGAAGAAGCAGTGCAGGCATCAGGCAGGACTGAGCGAATAATGTAAGGGGCGGCCCAGAAACCCACGTATTGTCCTCTCTGATTTTCTTTTTTAAAGCTCCGTGAAACTGGATAGAAACATTGTGCAAATTATGGACCTACTTGCCTCTCAGTGAGACGTCAAGCTCCTGACTGTCACTGCTTGGACCTTTTAAAAGTGGCAGAAAGTGACAGCGGACTTTTTAAGAAAGCGGTTAGAATCGAACGACTCGTCCCTAATTTTAAAACAGCCCACACTCAATGTACTTCTGATTTAATCACATGTAATCAAGTGCTGCTATATTAGGGAAACGCTGTCAATGAAGCCTTGATTCTAATGGTTACACTTGTCCTATCCTGCAGTCTGCCACAGACGCAGTACAAGCCGCTCTTCGCAGCAGAATTCCATAAAGCTGAAATGCCTGCAGCAGCTCTTTGGAGACATACTGGCGACTGCTGAGGTCTCTGGAGGGAACCAATTTCCCCTTCTGGAAGCTGGGAGAACGTGAATACCTCCAAAGACCCATACCTCACAGGCTTAGGATCCCATCTGAAAGTATGGCCCATTTTTGTCTACAATGAGGGTACAGGGTCCATGTTTTTCACCCCAAGGACATTTGGATCTGCAATGTGAGGCCATTTCCAAACCTTTGGGACAGCCAGGTATTGCTGTCAGCAAATGCAATGACGCAGATAACGGCGACAGCTGTGGGCATGGATAAGAACCAAAATCAGCAAAGGGGGGAAAAACAAAGGCAGCCCCCACCCCGGGAACAGATCTCAGCACTCAGAATGCCTTTCTGACACCTCACTGGGTCTCCAGTCACTTCAGTAGCAGAGATGAGGGCATCAGGCACATCAGAGGCCAGGTTTGCCTGGCAGTCTGACACTCTGGGTGGGGATGCCGCTGTTTTACGCTACAGAGAGGCAGAGAACCGCAACATCTGGATTTCAAAATTAGAGCTGGGTTTAGAAACTTTGGATAAACAGTAAGCAGTTTAAGGACTTTGAAGTAAAACGCGTCTGGAGTTTGGACATAACAATGGCTTAAAGACTAACATCCACCCTACTGGATAAATTCACTCCTTTTAATTGGACTTAATTTTTTTTTTTATGTTCAGTTAAGCTCAGGACTAATAATGTAACAGATAAATCAATAGAAAAAAACCCAAAATAAAGGGGATTGCTTGACCCTGGGCTAAGAGAAAAAATTGACTTAGGACTTGTGAAGGGATTTCACCATGGCCACTAATGCCACTGACAGGTCTCACTAACTGTACTTTAAAAGCATCATTATTACAAGTAATGCACTAAGTGCAGCAACAGTTGGACAAGTGTGAACTTGTAAGACTTTCCAGTCATGTTACACACATAAATCAGGCTCCTTTTCACAGCTTGGTTGGCAAACGCATTAAAAAAAAGAAATGAAAAGGTTAATTTGACTATATAGCACTTACTGAATCATGCACTTCAGATATTTTGGGCAGATAATAAAAAGCTTAAAGCAAACCTCACCGTGGATAACAAGAAAGGGAGAATAGGAGCCCCCAAAGCTGCTCTTTAAACCCAGAGTTCACAAACAGTACCCACAAGGAGTGAGGGGGGGCAATTCTGTTACAAACTGCGATTTTTCAAGGCGGCGATTTTAATATTGCTGTGAGAGTTAAACAAAAAACGATTTCTAGACATCAATTTAAACATAGGTTACTGAAGCTATGTCACTCACATTTTGTACTGCTAATATATAAAAACCCATCTCTTTTCTTTTGGCTTTCGATCCCTTGTGCGATGTTGATTTTAGTTTATTTTATTTGATGGTATATCATCTTATTTTGTATATGCGCTTATTTTATGAACTATTTACCTAATTCTAATTGTTTCATTGTAAATTCTCTGTATAGCACTTTGGTCCTGTGTGGTTGTTTTAAAGTGCTTTATAAATAAAGGTGGTATGGTATGGTATATTTGCGCATGGCCTGATTTTATGGGACTGACATGTGCAAGGCTGGCATGGTGCTGTTATGAATGAGTAAGTGTGTGCAGAGACTTTTCCTGCACCATCTCAATTTAAAGCCACAACTAACCGGTAGTGTGTGAAATGTAAACTTTCACTGACATCTCTATAACTCTTCCCTGAACACTAAGAACAGTTTCTAAACAAACTGAACTATTTACACCTTTTTTAAACTCCTCCCTCAGGTTGCACATCACCCTATGACTTGACACATACACACACACACACACGTGTCACCACACTCACTGCCAGTCGGAGCCCTTTTCACACTACAGGATTTGGAGTTCCATATATTTAGTCTGCTAAGTACAGTATCTGACGGGCATCTGCGATCATCAGCGATCGTCCAGTCGCGTCTTTGAACTGATAGCGCTCAAGCATCAATCTGTCTCCAACCTGGGACTTTGCTAGTAACTGCTAACAACTTTCGGCAAGTGGAAAACTGGGGCTAAAATTGTGCAGTATGAACTAAGCATTAGTCTTATTTTTTAGCCTGGACTGAATTTCCTGGCAAAAGCACACACTCAGATGATGTCGTCTAAGATGAGTTAGCGTGTTATAGGCGTTTCCAGAAATATATCTGGAACATAACTCAGCCAACAGACATTCTTAGTCTTATGAACTACTCTGTAATATGGGCATCATTTATTGGGAAGCCAAAATGTTCCCAATCCAGGGGTGTAGTAGGGGCATGGATACCTTGGAAGATTCAGGGGGCCCAGCACTTTACCGGGAGCCTTGAGTACAGTACATTAAATTATTGTGCAATGCGAGGGGCACAAGGTGACATTTTGTCAGGGGGCCCAGAATTTCTAGCTACACCCCCGTCCCAAACTACTGATTTAAATCATGTGTTATGGTCTTTGAGCTCTCTAGCACTAGCTGTAACCAACTCAAAACCACAATTACCATAATGTCTTCCAAGGTGAACATTCATTTGTGAATTTGTTTCACCCGTGTCAAGAAATTCATTTGTTTCATTGTGCATTCCAAACGGAATTTCAGCAAAATCTGTAAAAAAAAATTGTGATACATATTGAATTGGCAAATATATAACAATATAATAACTACCATTGTGACCATTGTCACTTTTCCTCTTGCATTTCTAAGGCAGACATCACTTTGCTGGGAATCTGGTGCTCTCTGTTTTCCTCAGTGCATCCTCCTGAAATTAACTTCCAACTATTGAAATAAGTTTTCTAAAATCCAAAAAGGAAAATCAAAGTGCTGTCTCAAGTTTTCCACATTAGCTCACCCACATTGCTATCATCAGTATTTCTGTCTAATGAATTAATTGCTCCGTACTCAAATCACATACGATAGGCCAGGATTAACTTCTGTTGCTTAGTACGCATGTCACAAATGACAGACTGGGATTAATTTTTGTTGCTCCATACTCATGTCACATATATGTGATATGAGCTGGGGGTTAAGAGCCTTGCTCAAGGCCCCGCAGTAACAGACAAGCATGTTTGCTGAAATGTGAATGTGTGTCATTTTGTGAAATCCTAGAACATGCACTAAGTTTACAAAACATTAGGCATGTCTGTTCGTTACTTAAAATAAACTGACAAGGTAAAGTCTGATGAAAGCTGGGTTTTTCAAGTTTGACAGCATCTATATATGGAATGTACCACCTCTCGAAATCAACTGCACACAAATGTCTGCGTGGGAGACTGGAGTCAGCATGGAACACTCCTGGTGCCTTGCTGAGTCCATGCTGACAAACCGAGATTGTTCTCTGGAGAATAGGGGGTGAAATGCCGTATTAGGGAGGTGCACCTGAAGCACTGACACTCCGTGTACATGCCTGTTCGTATGGCATAAATAAAGATATTTATTGGTTGCTTTAGTGGATATTCTGAGGCAGGTCAGTGAACCCAGCTTTCCCACCATTCCCAGCAGAAGAAGAGATCCACAATCCCTGTGGACCCAGGAGAGGCAGGAGGCCACTGCAAGGTCACTGCCACTGGATTCTCTGTGATTCACCCTAGTGGTTTAAAATCCATTGACTCCATGAGACCAACATTTGAGATGGGAGTAGCATACAAACAGGAAACGGAGGGGAGAATGTGGGAGGAGTTTCCCATATTAAGGAACCAACCAACACCTGCTGCTTTAATGTTAGGAGGAACAAAGCCATGAATAGCTGCAGGCTGACAATGACGAGGCATTGGGGCAATTAGACAGGCCAGGACAAGCAGCTGCTGAATATTCAGCGAAACCTCCACGTGTCTTTGTGAGACAATGATGAAAGGCTACCGACACCTTCGTGTGCAAAACACGGAGAGGGGCAACAAAGCAGCTGAAATGTCTGCCTTTGATGCAGCGGAGGGGCCGCATCCACAGGCCAGTCACAGAGCGACAATGCATTTGTCATTGTAATGAGGAGGACTGCAGCACAACACCTGACAACATGACACCCAGCACTGCTACACTTGGCAATGTGACACCTTGCAATACGACACCCTGCAAGGCTACACACAGCAACACTACACTCTTCTATGCGACATCCGGCAACACAAAACCCTACAATACTACACCCAGCCATGCGATACCCAGCAATGCAATACCCTGCAATGTTACACCAGGCAACACAACACCCGGCAACGCGAGATTCGCCAACAGGACACCCTGCAACACTACACCCATCAATGTGAAACTCGGCAACACGACACCCTGAAATACTACACCCAGCAATGCGATACCCTGCAATGCTACACCTGGCAACACAACACCCTGCAATACTATACCCTGCAATACTACACCCAGCAATGCAACACCTGGCAACACAACATCCTGCAATACTACACCCAGCAATGCAACACCTGGCAACACAACACCCTGCAATGCGAAACTTGGCAATACGACACCCTGAAATGCTACTCCTAGTAACATGACACCCAGGTACTGCACACGACACCTTGCGACACTACACCTGGCAACACAACACCCTGCAATGCGAAACTTGGCAATACGACACCCTGAAATGCTACTCCCAATAACATGACACCCAGGTACACGACACCTTGCGACACTACACCTGGAAATACTGCCGTATCCCGAGCCTCCAGCTAAGCAGCTCAGGCAATAGGATCCTCCATCTCATGCAGACTATTGAAGGACCTCATTCTATCGCATACAAACTGTCATGACAATTGACTGAACCATTTACCGTCACCCTTGTCATTCATAAAGTTCTATTAGTGTGACAAGTTCAGAGAATTAGGCTTAAGGCTATGATGAAAGGGGACCCCACATCCACAAAGAGAGGTCTGCTTGAGACATTTGGATATCCAGGCAGATGATTACTAAAAAGACTTTGCAGAATGGTAACTGTAATTTTTCTAAAGCAAGTTTTCAGTGTACATTTAAAAAATGGAGAAATCAGAAGTAGTGTTCTGGCAATCATGGCTTTACGATTTGCTTGTTTTATTTATAAAGTACCCTTGGATTTGTATGTTGCTCATTTAGCATTTCAGACACATCCCAATTGTTCCTATAAAATCGGCCTGCTCAATCCTCCAATCCACATGTCCGATGAATTTGCTATCTGTCATAAAGAACCATTTGTTTTACCTCAGCTATCTGAACGGGCAGCCTTCAGGTCACATACAGCAAGCCTTTAGCATTACTGAAACTATGCTATGCTAGCTGCTAGCCTCGCTTCTGCTTCACACGGAAATGTCCTCGAGAAATTTGGAATGGTCAGCAGCAAAATATACCAAGGGCGCCCCCTTGCTGATGCCAGTCCATCCCTGCTCAGCACATCCCTCCCTCCCAGTGGGCAGCTATCTGGGGGAGAATATTAAAAGGTCCAGGGGTCCCCTTCTCCTCTGAGCCAGTTCCCGTGGTTCGGTGCTGGCTCTGACTAACGAGCACCGTTAATGCCCAACAGATTACAGCCCCATTCAAATAATCATAGTGGCTGCTTGGGGAATAGCCCAGAAAGGCCTGAGTCTCTGCCAGGCCAGCAGTGTGTCAGTGTTTGTGAACACACACACACACGCAAATGTACGCACACCCAGGCACACATACGTACACACACATATGTACACCCAAGCACACATACGTACACACGTACACACACACACGTACGTACGCACACCCAGGCACACATATGTACACACACATATGTACACCCAAGCACACAAACGTACACACACATATGTACACCCGAGCACACAAACGTACTGTACACACACACACACACACACACACACACACACACACACACGTACGTACGCACACCCAAGCACACAAACGTACACACACATATGTACACCCAAGCACACAAACGTACACACACATATGTACACCTAAGCACACATACGTACACACACACACACACACACACACGTACATACGCACACCCAGGCACACATACGTACACACATACACACACACACGTACACACATACACACACACACACATACGTACGTACACCCAGGCACACATATGTACACACACATATGTACACCCAAGCACACATACGTACACACGTACACACACACACATACGTACACGTACACACACACACACACACACACACACACACATACGTACATACACCCAGGCACACATATGTACACACACATATGTACACCCAAGCACACATACGTACACACACACACACACACACACACACACACGTACGCACACCCAGGCACACATACAGGCGCGCACATGCACACACATACCATTTGGCTCTGTTTCTTATAGACACACAAGCACATAAACATTCATATTTTAGTTTATAATATATGCATTACTTGTACATTGTGAAAAAAACAAAACAAATTGACAGACTCCCTAACACCAAAAAAATACACTTTCCTGCAAATTATGAAAATTTGCATGGGGAACAAGAAGGGCTTCTGCCCCACAGACACACACGTGCGCACACACACTCAAACAGATACACACACACACGCACACACAAATAGATATACACACACGGTACATGATACTCACTCTGCAGTTGTCCAGCTCTTCTGCTGTGAGGATGATGGTGCCACACTTCTTCCCAGGAATACCTCTGAAAGGCAAATCACCACATTAGCAGAGTACAGAAGACCTCTTACTGTCAGAGCTTTTGATTATATCCGGCCAAAATAGTACAGCTGTTATCCACAATCCTCTGTTGTCCTGCCGTTATAAACCCCCGCCTGGGAAATGGTGAAATCATTACAAGCAGAAGAAGTCATGACCTTTGACTTAGAACTCGCCCCCACTGATTCCATCTGCTACAACAACCTGTACCGAGTCAACACAATGAATCTGCTTATCCAGGTCTTAATGCAACCACAAATTCCAGGTAGGATATACAGTATTCCTGCTGGGATGCCAAAGACTCCCGTTTCAAGAGTATAGCCAAATACATCAAATTCTATATTTCCTGAAGTCTATATAAGTTTAAACTTAATTACATCCACTGGCTGCAAGAAAAAAAAGGTGACATGGTATGATGGGAACTACCTTCATCTCTGCTTGGCCAAATATCCACAATCAGAAAGATCTTCTTCCCAAAAATAAATGAGATCCTTTTCCCACCATGCAGCCTGCCGCCTGGCCCCCCCACTCAATGAGGCCATCGCAAATCAGCAACACATCTGAGGTGTAATCATCCACATAGTATATGTATAAACCAGGACACTATTCAGCTGTAGTACCAGGTACAGTTTAAAACTGAAATACACATATACATACACAAATATACATTATATATATGCACACGCACATACATACTGTACATACGCTACAGGTCAGAGGTTTGGGCCCACCCTCCACCCTCCGGTTTTTTTAAAAATATCCGATACACTGCTTTTCGAACTTATTACAAGACAATATTTGAAATGCTTAAAACAAATGTAACTGACAGGTTTTGAAGTGTGATGTGACAATTTACTGTAACTGTTACTGCGTTGTAAGTGCAGTTTAATGAATGTGAGTGCCTAAGTATGAAGTTTCATCAAAATAACCACCTCTTGCCTTCATCACAGCAGAACAGATTCACAGAATCATTTCCAGCAATTTTTGGAAAAACCTCAGGTCTAAATCCTCCCTGCACTGTTTCAAGCATGAAAACCAACAAACCACTTATGCAAGGTACAAGGTGCCAGCATAGAACATAAGAATATAAGAACATAAGAAATTTACAAAGGAGAGGAGGCCATTCGGCCCATCAAGCTCGTTTGGGGAGAACTTAACTAATAGCTCAGAGTTGTTAAAATCTTATCTACAGTAGCTCTGATTTAAAGGAACCCAGGGTTTTAGCTTCCGCTATACTTATGGCCACGAGTTCTAGTATTTAAACTAATATTGAAGTAGCCATTTGACTGAACAGCATCCAGACCCGTTAGAATCTTATAGACCTGGATCATGTCCCCCCTTAGTCTCCTTTGCTCAAGGCTAAACAGATTCAGCTCAGCTAACCTCTCCTCATAAGACATTCCTCTAAGACCAGGAATCATTCTCGTAGCCCTACGTTGCACCTTTTCTAAGGCAACAATGTCCTTCTTAAGGAATGATGACCAACAAGAGTGCAATGCTGGTCTTGACAATTAACTGCAAATTCGAATCATGAGTTTAAGTGTTTGACTAGGTGGCCCTAACAAAGACGCCAGGAGATGGAAAATATTGGTTGACCCTCTGTTATTTTTCAGCTATATTTCACATAAGCAAAATTCAAGGAGTAAACCACAGCACTCTCCTGGGCCTCAATCAGAATGGCAAATTTCAACACCGGAGCTCAGCTGTTTCCTTAGGGACCTGAAACACGGGACTAGCAGAGAGAAAAATGCTCCTCAAGCTCGTCAGCATAAGCTTGGTATAAGTAGGTCATCACTGTATAAATTTGCTCAGTATTATCAAAAAGCGGCATTTACAGCTAGATTTCTTTTCTATTTGGCACATTACATTTGTTACAGATTCATTACTTATTTAGACAAGCATCCCATTCTGGGTCTTCCCCAGACCTCTGCCCTGCATTTCAGTGGGCAGCCTCCAGGCTCACTGTAGCACTACACTGGATACATTTTTATCCAGTTTTTAAGATGATGGATTTGTTGTATGCTATTGGATTATTAATTTTGGTCAAACTGACTTGACAGGTCAGTGCAAAGAAATTAGTGTATATCATTTGACACATTTATATTTGAGAATTTAAAAATAATGAAGAACAGGAGAATTTTGGAAGAACTAGAACACTCCCAAGACCTGAAGATGCAGTATTTCAGTACGACACTGGCTCCTGAATTACCGCAAAGAATCAGCCGGGAACAAGAAAGTACATCCATCCATCCATCTATCCATCCACCTGCTTTAAAACATGGTGTTTTCCTGATTTTGACTTGCACCAAGGTCACGGTGGGTTGGGGTGGTGTAAGTGTGCGGTGCCTGGGCTCCTTGCTCTTGTCAAATGCTGAAGATGCCTGAGCCTGTGCACAGTCCCCAACCCAAAGAGCCCCTGCCACCATAACTGGTATCAGTTCTTAAGTTCCAAGGTTACCAGGGTAACTGGCGAAAGTTGTTTTTAATCTTTAGCGTAACAAACCAGGCTAGTTCTGTTTTCCTACACTAGTGAAGACACCACGTGAGCACTCAGTTCCCTCTATGCCTGGTGCTAGGTACTTAATTACCCTCCCCAGCCAGTGTGTGATGCTGTAGGCACAAGACAATGGCACACTATCATATGTACAGTAAGGACCAATGGACAGGCCACTGCTGCCTTGACTTGAGATGATCAAACCAACGGGACTGGATCTTTTGCAATCTGCAGCCAACCTGAGTAATATTTTTCTCAGTGAAGGCATTCTTGAAGGTCAGTAGCCCAGTCCACCCCCTGAGACACCAGGGAGGCAGGGGGAGCCATGGAGGGGAGCCAGGTGGAGCTATGGAGGGGAGCCAGGCGGAACCAGGGAGGGGAGGCAGGGGGAGCTATGGAGGGGAGCCAGGCGGAGCCAGGGAGGGGAGGCAGGGGGAGCTATGGAGGGGAGCCAGGCGGAGCCAGGGAGGGGAGGCAGGCGGAGCCAGGGAGGGGAGGCAGGGAGAGCCAGGGATGGGAGGCAGGGAGAGCCACGGAGGGGAGGCCGGGAGAGCCAGGGAGGGGAGGCAGGGAGAGCCAGGGAGGGGAGCCAGGCGGAGCCACGGAGGGGAGGCAGGGAGAGCCACGGAGGGGAGGCAGGGAGAGCCACGGACGGGAGACAGGGAGAGCCACGGACGGGAGGCAGGGAGAGCCAGGGAAGGGAGGCAGGGAGAGCCAGGGAGGGGAGCCAGGCGGGGCCACGGAAGGGAGGCAGGGAGAGACAGGGAGGGGAGGCAGGGAGAGAGAGAGGGGAGGCAGGGAGAGACAGGGAGGGGAGGCAGGGAGGGGAGGCAGGGAGGAGAGGCAGCAACGGCTTCCTCAACCCCTGGCACATTAGAAGCAGCTGATGAATAATTCAGTGACGTGATGAAATTCTTGGTTGGCTCTTTATTAACCTTCACAAGGATCACTGCAGCCACACATGTCCTTTAGAACAGTGTGCAAAAAGTCAAAAAGATCAAAATCGTGGAGTGTTTACAAGCCATCTTGCACCATCACCAACAAAGCAACTCACTTACACTTTACAACAGTTATCATTGTTGTTTTCCAAATGTTAATTGTCATTTGAGAAATGCTCCAAGGCAATTGAGAAAAACTGTAAATACTGCTGCCCTTAACTTGAAAAATGCTGACACTGAGAAGAATTATTTACATAGCCCACATTTCTCTGGAGAACCATCTCCCTCAGCTACTCTTTTCAAGAACAAGTTTGTTCCCTCTTGTCATGTGTTATGGCCTGGGTGCTGTGTACTGCTCACTGCGGCTTGGATGGCAGGCACACTGCACCAGCATGCTCCTCTCTGTGGGCTCTGCATTGGCTGCTATTAGGTACTGTATACTTCACTGACAGCACTATAGAACACTGCGCTCCTCACTATGTACCTGTAAAACTCTGCACAGCTATGTCATCACTTTAACCACAATAAACCACAGTGAACAATGTCAGGGGAACATTATCAGACCTTCAAAGCGCCACTGTTTTCTCATTGACCTGCATCTGTTTTCTCATTGACCTGCATCATTAGCTATAAAATGGAAATGGAAATGTCCTTACACTGTGTAAAATTTCACCCATTCACTCAGATAACTAAACCTCTCAGGTTAAGTGATTAATCAGAGGTGACCACAGGAGCGAAACTGCAGTGGAAGTTCAGTTTTTAAGGTCTGGATGAAATGTGGCCTGTTTTCCTACTTTCTATGCTGGGTCTGGGTCCATAGCAAAAACCATTGATATACTAACATTCTTCTAAAATGCTGATACCATCCATCCTTCCAGATTTGCCATTTATGTCTGCTTACTTTTGATACTGCACTCCAAAGGAGTAATATGCTCCAGGATATTTAGCAAGTTCTGAAACAATGTTAAATGCATAAATCCAGAGTTACTTTGTCAGAAACTGAGAAGCAGCCAGAATAAGCCTCAGTCTTCCCACCACATGGCCTGTGAAGGACGGGGGAGGGGCATAGGCTAGCTAAGATGCCATGTACCTGGAGCACAGTGTATCTGGGGAAATAAGCCAGAGCCAACATGGAGGACAGACTTTCTGAGCAACAGGGTCATGGTCTACCTGCCACCCAAACCAGCTGCTTACTCTTATTTCATCCCTGTGCAGAAGCAGCAGCCAATCTGGGGTTCAGCAGAGCCACCGTGGGTCAGCAGCTGAACAGGCAGGGACTGTCTCAGTGCCGAATGGCCTCTGAAGATGTGGTTGGGCAGCCAAACAGGAGGACGTGCCAGAGAAAGGCCCTGCAGGTTCCTCCCACACTGGGGAGTCGCCCCGTGTCCCTGTGGGCAGTGAGTGGAGCACAAGAAATTTAACTGCCCTTCAGAGAGCCTCAAAGAAAACAAACAATTGGAAACTGTAATGAGCAAGGAATAATTCTGCATACTGATCACAGGAGAAAGCTGGAGAGCACAAGGCCGATTTCTGTTCTTTGTAGCTCACAGCTCT